TCTATCTATCTATCTATCTATCTATCTATCTATCTATCTATCTATCTATCTATCTCAGATTCTCAAAGGACTGACGTGGCCTAAGATGGACTCATAGTCTGAGAAGCAACTCTGGGAGAAATCTGTGCTGTAAAATGGAGATGTGCTAGGTTTTTCCTTTCTGCTTCTGCTTTTAAATTCTATCATTGGTAGTGTATGCGTGATGTGTGTGCAGGTGTACATGTGCCACAGCAGCTTGTGCAGATCAGAGGACAGCTTCGTGGAGCTGGTTCTTGCCTTCCGCCTTCACCTGGGTTCTGGGGCTGGAACTTGGGTGTCAGGCTTGCAGGGCAAGCACTGTAACTGCTGAGTTGTCTTGATGGCTCTGTTCATTTGTTTGTTCTGAGACAACTTCTTAGTAGTATGGGCTGAAGATGACGCTGTTTTATGTAGCTGAAGATGACCTTGAATCCTGGATCTCCCTGCTTCTACCTTCCAAGTTCTGAATTACAGCTCTGTGCCATCATGCCCAGCTTTTCTTTTTCTAACTTCTCTTCGTAGAGAAAGGATACATGTTATGGGTGAGGAAGCACCAGGGTAATAAGCACCAGTGTAAAATAAGAGAGTTCCCAAGGCTACTGGAGCTCAAATGAAGCTGGAAACCCACGCAGTTGCTAAGCTGCTTGCTACTCAGTCTGGAATTTTCCTCAGGAATGCTCAAGCCTGGAGGCAGGGGTTTAGGAGACAGGTCAGAATGTGAGCATTACAGAGCTTTGAACTGCAAGTGGTCTAGAAGAGACTAGGCTGGTCTTTGCAACTGCACACCTTAGGTGTGCCGTGATTCAGATCCTGATTCTGGAGGTCCAGTTACTTGCTTTCCTTGTTTCCCTGGAAGGTTTCTGGGTTTGAGGAAGTGACATTCTAATCAAAAAAGAAAGCAGTTGATGAAACAGATCCTTAACTGACATTGAAGATGAAGCTTATAAATTGGGTGTGCTGGTGAGCTCTCTAACAGCAGCATTTATTTGATTAAAATATTCAGGCACACTCTTTTTTGTTGTTGTTGTTGTTTTTCAGGGTTTTGGTTTGGTTTGGTTTGGTTTGGTTTTTCAAGATTATTTCTCTGTGTAGCTTTGGAGCCTATCCTGGACCAGGTTGGTCTTGAATTCACAGAGATCCACCTGCTTCTGCCTCCCAAGTACTGGGATTAAGGGTTTATAAAACTCCCAGATCCATTTCTTAAAATTTTATTATGTATTTTTTAATTAAAAAATGGGTGTTTTCTTTTGCTTGTCGTGCTATGGTTTGATACACTCTACATACAAGCTAGGCAAGCCTTCTACTGAAAGACCCGGTTAAATCCAGACCCCTCTAGCAGGAAAAATAGAGCCAAAGATCTAGCAAAAAGAGAAGAGCCAAAAATCTAGGTTAGCTGGTTCAGTGACTGTTTCAGGAACTAGCTGAAGATAAAGTTAGATTGTAATCTTGAGAATAATCTTGAGAAACAGGGAGTTACCCCCTTGTGCTTGTCACTGGTATTTTCGGAATTTTCCAATGATGCTCTTCCTACCCCCTTTGATTACTGGGTTGTAGTTTCTTTCCTTAAATACCCCTTCTCCCAGCTACTGAGGGATTGAACTCTCTACCCCTGCGTGAGAAATAAGTTTCGGCCCCAGTGCACTGGTTCCTGTCCTGTCAATAAACCTCATGTGACTGCAGCAAGGTTGGTCTCTCGTGAGTTCCTGGGGGGTCGTGTTATCCCGAGACTTGAGTGAGAGTCTCCCCACTCCGGAGGTCTTTCACTACCTCTGTGCAACACACCCAGCACACTAGAGCTATGTTTCATACTTGTGGAGAGATCTTTAAAATATTTTTCTGGGAGTCTGGAGAGATGGCTCACCAGCTAAGAGCACTTCCTGCTCCTGCAGAGGACTGGGGTTCAGTTCCCATATGGTGGCTCACAACTATCCTTACCTCCAGTTCTTGGGGGTCTCATGACTTCTGACCTCTGTGAGCATCAGACATGTATGTATGTGGCTCACATTCTACATGTAGGCAAAACATTCACACAGAACTGAAAAAATCCATAGATTATTCATATTTTCCCACTTGTTTTTTTTTGTTGTTGTTATGACTGTTTGTTTATAGTCTGAAACAGAGTCAGAGAACAATTCAAAAGAGCCTCCCTTTCTACAGTGTAGTTCCTAAAGTCTGAGCTCAGTGGGTCAGGTTCGGCACCAACACTTTTACCTGCTGAACCATCTTGTAGGTCATTTTTTCCTACTTTTCTTATGGCTTCTGTTTTGTGTGTCAAATTAGGAAGACTGATTTTTTTTTTTGTAATATTAGGAATGTTAACCTTTATTATCCAACTTGACATAAACACTCATCTCTTTTACACTCAATCGCCTGCATAACCTTTGGTAGCACTGTTAGTATTCAGGCATCTGTACTGGCCTGCCCTTGGGGTCCTGACAGGAGTGTTAGTACTCAGGCATCTGTACTGGCCTGCCCTTGGGGTCCTGACAGGGTTCATCCCCAGCTGCAGCCACTAAGAGCCCCTCCTGTGCACATTTGCTATGTTCTCTTTTAAAAGGTGGGCCTTGTCCCCTCCCCTCCTCTCTCTCTCTCTCTCTCTCTCTCTCTCTCTCTCTCTCTCTCTCCCTCCCTCTCCTTCTCTCGCTCTCCCTGTTCCACCACTCTTGTCCCTGGGGACTGGTCTCTGCCCTCCTCTCTGCCCCTTCTCTGCCTTCTCTCCTCTTTCAATAAACCTTCCATGTAAGCCCTGTTGCATGGTGTGACTTCTCTTATGGCATTTTTAAATTACAATAGACACGGTCCCTAGCCATCCCCCCATTTCTCATTAGAACATTTTTTGTTGGTTTTTTTTTTTAATTCAAAAGTTATGTACTTACATGACATCTTCATTGTCAACTTGACTGAATTTGGAATCAGAAAGGACATACACCGCTTTACGAGTTTGTGATGGTATTTTCCAGGGAGGTTAAACTGAAGGACGACGACCCACTCCCAACATAAGCAGCAGCACCCCATGGGTCAGGAGCCAGGGCTAAATACAGACTGAAAAAGGAATAGCAGCATATACTGCTGTTTGCTTCCAGGTCTTTCCAGATGTGAGGAGTAGAAGCTGTATGCTCCTGCCACCGGAAACTCTGCCATGTCTTCCCACTGTGATGGACTGTGTGTTCTTAAACCATGAGCCAGATGAATTCTTTTCTCCAGGTGCTTCTTGTTATTTTATCACAGCAAAATTCAAAATAACTAATACAGTCATTTCCCGCACTGTTTAAGATACATACTCTTCTCTCAGGATTATAGAACTTTTCAATTTTCTCTAATTTTCTTTGAGACAGGGTCTCCATATGAATCTCAAGCTGGTCTCCAATGAAGGTCTCAGTTTGGTTGGAAGCTTCACCTCAGTCCCTATACCCAAATAGTCTGGGATGTTTGGGTGGAAAGTTCTACTCCAGCCCCTTCCCCTGGGAGTTGCCTCAGTCCAGACTATACCCCCAAGAAAGTCCACCAAATGATGACCCCTCACCAGAGATGTTCAAGACCACTACCACAGGGTATTTAAACTTCCCTCCAACACACAGAGAACAATATGGGTCTTCCTTCTCCACCTCCTCTCTGAGAGCCTGTATCCATTAAATGTGGGCTTTCTCTAATTCGGTTTGATTTGGTTCGATTTGGATTATCGTGTAGGTGAGAGGTTTATTGGGATACAAAACTTTTTCAGTCTCCAGCCTGTTTTCTGACTGCTAGGATTATAGACATGTGCCTCCAAGTCTAGCATCTGTTGTTTCTAGACAAAGTCTCAGGTTCTTAAGCTGGCCTCGAACTTCTGATTCTCCTTCCTCCACTGAGTGCTATGATTACAGTCATTTGCCATCACAATCATTTAATGTGGTGCTGGGATCAAACCCAGGGCTCCATGGCATGCTAGGCAGGCACTCCACCAACTGAGCTGGATTTTAGACCCTGTCTTAAAGTTCTGACCTTTAAATATTGAACCCATGTTTCTGAAGCTAAGGTCTCATGTAAACCTATGAATCCAGCCCGCAGGTTGACCTTGAAGTCCAGACACTTCTGCCTTTCCGAGTCCCAGGATTTGATAATTTTGATCACTGGTAAAAGAAGGATTTATTATTTTCTTTTTGTTTGCTTCCTTTAAAATGTTTTCCATTTCCATCACCACTAGGCATTTGTCTAAAGAAAAAAAAAACTGTTACTTTCACTCAGCCACTGTATTCTCCTTAATTCTAGTTTGTTCTCTGTGTGTGAACGTGGCGTACATGTGTGTGGTGTACACTGCCCTGTGCAGAAGCCACCACCAGGGTCCTCTTTTATCATTCTTGTGTTGCTCTCTGAGGTATGGTCTCTCCTTGAACCCAGAGCACACTCATTCTTTTGTCATTTTCCAGCCTCCAGGCTGAGTCAACAAACCCCAGTATTCTCCTATCTCACCACCACACACACACACACACACACACACACGCATGCAGTAGTTAGTGGTGGTACCGACAAACCCCAGTATTCTCCTAGCT